CACCAGGACTAATTCAACTAGGGGTTCTTACAACCAGGGGTCTTACAACCAAGGGTTCTTATAACCAGGGGTTCTTACAATTAGTGGTTCCTACAACCAGGAGTCTTAAAACTTGGGGTTCTTGCAACCTGGGGTCTTACAACAAGTGGTCTTACAACTTGGGATTCTTATAACCAGGGGTCTTACAACGAGAGGTTCTTACAACCAGGGGTCTTACAAGTTGGGGGTCTTACAACCAGGGGTTCTTACCAGCAGGGGTCTTACAACCTGGGGTTCTTACAACCAAGGGTCCTAAAACATGGGGTTGTTACAACCGTGGGTCTAACAAACTGGGGTTCTTACAACAAAGGGTCTTACAACCAGGGGTCTTACAACCAAGGGTTCTTACAACCAGGGGTTCCTATAACCAGGGGTCTTACAACCATGGGTTCTTACAACCAAGGGTCGTACAACTTTGGGTTCTTACAACTTGGGGCTCTTACAACCAGGGATCTTACAACCAAGGGTTCTTACAACCAGGGGTTCCTATAACCAGGGGTCTTACAACCAAGGGTCGTACAACTTTCGGTTCTTACAACAAGGGGTCTTACAACCAGTGGTTCCTACAACCAGGGGTCTTACAACCAGGGCTGAGTCGCTCAAAGCATGGTTAGCTTTAACCATTGGTTAAGCAGTATCAAAACCAATACGTGTTCAAGGTAGTAAACGCTGGTTAACGCTAACCATGCTTCGAGCAACTGGGCCCAGGAGTATTACAACTTGGGGTTCTAACAACCAGGTGTCTTACAACAACGGGTCTTACAACGTGGGGTTCTTACAACCAGGGGTCTTACAACTTGGGATTCTGACAACCAGGTGTCTTACAACCAGGGTGTCTTACAACCGGGGGTTCTTACAACCAGGAGTCTTACAACCAGCGGTCTTACAACTGGGGCTTCTTATAACCAGGGGTTCTATCAACCAGTGGTTCCTACAACAGGGGGTCTTACAACTTGGGGTTCTTACAACCAGGGGTTCTTACATCCGAGGGTCGTGCAACTTGGCGTTCTTACAACCAGGGGTTTTACAACCAGTGCTTCCTACAACCAGGGGCCTTACAAGCAGGGGTTCTTACAACCGAGGGTCGTACAACTTGGGGTTTTTACAAGCAGGTGTCTTACAACCGGGGGTTCTTATAACCAAGGGTTCTTACAACCAGTGCTTCCTACAACCAGAGGTCTTACAACTTAGGGTTCTTACAACCAGGGGTGTTACAACCGGGGGTTCTTACAACCAGGGGCCTTACAACTTGGGGTTGTTACAACCAGGGCTTTTTATAATTAAGTCTTACAATCAGGGGTTCGTACCATCAGGGTTCTTACATCCAGGGGTCTTACAACCATGGGTTCTCACAATCAGAGATTCAGGTAACCAGAGGTCTTACAAGCAGGAGTGTTACAACCATTACTTCCTACAACAAGTGGTCTTACCACCAGGGGTCTTTTAACCAGGGGTCTTACAAGCAGCGGTCTTTACAAGCAGGGGTGTTACAACTTGGGGTTCTAACAACCAGGGGCCGGTTGCTCGAAGCCTGGTTAGCGCTAACCGTTGGTTAAGAGGTATCAAAATGCATAGGTTTCCATGGTATTTAACGCTGGTTAGCACTAACCATACTTCGAGCAACCCGGGCCAGGTGTCTTAGAACTTGGGGTTCTTACAACCAGGGGTTCTGACAACTTGAGGTTCTAACAACCAGGTGTCTTAAACCAGGGGCTTTATAACCTGGGATTGTTACAACCAGGGCCCAGTTGTTCGAAGGCCGATTAGTGCTAACCCAGGGTTAAATTTTAACCCGGTTTTCTTTTTCTTTTGTTCAAAAGTATTTTCCCGGGTAATTTCCTCTCTTCTTTTTAGAGCATCCAATCGTCAATTTGTTGGCAGAAAGAATAAAACTGAATTTGCTTCTCAAGCTTTCATATCTGAAATCAAATTTCGCACCAACCGTGGGTTAACTTAACCCACCTTTGAACAACCCAGCCCTGGGGGTCTTACAACCAGGAGTCTTATAACCAGGGGTTCTTACAACCAGGGGTCTTACAACCAGGGATCTTACAACCGGGGGTTCTTATAACTAGGGGTTGTAAGACTACAGGGCTTTGACTGGGAAAAGGGAAAATAGTTTCTCAGTTCGAATTATCCAGGAGTTTGGAAAAACTCGAACGTTCAAGAAATCGGGTTTGTAACGTAAATAACACATAAAATTCCAAACAGAAATACTGAACAAACACGTTGTGAGTTAAAATTGTTGTACTTTGCATAAAGACTAAATCACATTGCTGATGAGTCATGACATATGTTATTGTCCCATTTTTAACCGTTTTTGTATATAAAACCACTTTAAGCAGTAACTTAGACAACAACTCAACAAGTATATTTATATGCACTGCTACATTTTCTCTTCGGTGTTCCTGTAACTTTCCGTTTTAACCATTACAATTTCCTCAAATTTGATTGGTGCACTAACTGCTTTATTTTTCACTAATCATTGTGTACTGAGTTGTAGTCAGACAGTTACATTAGCCAACCACATTAAGTGCACTCAGGTAAATCCAACAAAACCCGGAAGTTATCACAATAACCATAGCAACGACCACTTACCATACCAAACCAGGAATTTTCCAAAATGGACGAATTTGCTAGGGCTAAAAAACTTCGTTAAGGCTAAAAGCGAAGCTCTGGTCAATAATACGTGTAAACAAAAAAACTAAATCGTGTAATGCTAAACGGGGAGGACAATGAAAATGGCTTCAAGACTAATAGATCTAATTAGCAAAAAACAAATTGCACGTGCAGCACACCTTTTCTTTTTTATCTTTCCCTTGCCGTTGTTTTGCACAACTACAACGATGTTTTGTACGACTGAAACGTCAAACTTCCTTGTTACACATTATTTTTATGGAGGAATTGTCGTATGTGCTTACCCAATATTTTGTTTCCTGTGTTCATGTTCGCTTTTATTTTTCACTGCCGCTCATTTTCACCTTGCTGTCCGCTAGCATTTCTCACCGCCGCTTTGAATTTCCATGTTTTTCTTCCTACGAAATTCGTCTCAATAACTCGCTCTAGCTCTTTCTTTGTTATCCACGTTAGTGTAAACATAAAAAACAATGCCGAAAAAGACACGACTTTGTTGTTGTTTTTTCTTTCTAAAAGTCCGGGCGGCCATGTAATTTCCTTCCAACCTGATGATTGAGTCATTTTACATTGGTATGCCTGTGGTGTGGACGGACGGTCGGTGTACGGTCACGTGATTACCAATTTTTTTGGATGGGTAGATTATCACATTTCCTTAGCTATGGGGCTCTGCCCACTCGCGGCGCGAAGCGCCGCGCGTGGAGCTCCGCTATTAATTTCCTTAATTTTGGCCATTTGGTATTAAAAGCTCTTTTACCGAAAAAGAATGCATTAATTTTTCCGGAAATTGTAACGGTTATGATTAATTGGTAACAGGACTTCGTGTCGTCCAATTCGGTCTTTAATCATACTCGTGGTTAAGCAAAACGGACTCCCGCGATTTTGTTAATCACTCGTATGATAGACCTATTCGGCTAACTCAGTGTTGTACCCAATTCAAATCTCCCGGGGATAAGATTCTTTGTGTATTGTATTTGCATTATAATGTGGCATTCACACTTAAATGATATGGAAATTCCTGAAACAAAACGTTTTATTCCCAAAGGGTTTAAATTGGGTACAACATTGAGTTAGCCGAATAGGTCTATTACAGACCGAATTGGACGACACGAAGTTCTACTACCATTATTAGCAAATTACTGATTGTTTTAAAAACAGGCACTTTGGCCGTATTACTATAAAGCTGGATCTGACATGTCCATGTTGAGTTTACCGAAATTCCACGTATGGCACTTTATAGTACAACATTGCTACAATCAATCACTTGTACTTGATGAAAAAAAGGGGTTAGGTTTAAGTTGCAGTCTTAAACCTTAAGACAATGCGAAGATGAAGACGACAACCACGAAGTCCGAATGGCCAATTTATACTGTGACTTTGCTTTAGGAAATTTCCTCTGCTATAACAAGGAAAAATGTCGCGAAAGTGCATCAATCTGTCTTCACTAGTGCAACGGTAAAAGCTAAAATCCTTTACAACACTAGCTAGAAAAATTTGTCCAGTTTCGGCAATGTATAAAACGTTTTAGCAAACAGCTTCTTGCACCGAGTGGTAATGAGGCCATTTTTCCATTCCTAGGAGATACTGGTTATTGGCCCGGTAAAACTGCATCATCTCTTCAAGGTTCCTGTTGCCATCTACGACCTGGAAAACAAGTTTTCTGTAGTTTAAAAATAGTCGAAATGTAATGTTCATATAACGTTCAATAATACCAGATGTTCTCTAGGAACATGTAACATGTCTGCTTTTAACTGTGTATTAAATCGTTGTTAATCTCGTTGTGAATTTCTTTAACGCTTGTAGAAGATCTAAAACTTATCGTTGGAACTAAAATCGCAACATTCTCTCACTACGATCACCAGCTTGCTATTCCATCACCAAAGTCATACGATACTTATTTTTGAGGGTCTCCCTAACCCTGAAAGAAATCCGAATCAACGTCAAACCTAAATTGCATAACGTCAGTTCTCGACACACTTCCCCCATACGTCTCTGGAGGAGATATACGTCTTTCAAAGTATAATCTATATAGATATGTAATCAAACGGAAATCACCGACGTAACAAAACAAATGTCTGAGTTAATAGCTCCAGATCTTAGGGTCAATGTAAAACAACCGACAATTTCCATCTTGGGTAATCTCCTGTAAACGCAGACGTGCTGTGACGGCGGCATCCCGTCTTGGGCGGAAGGGAGCAACCTTCGGGTTCATCCTCACCGGTGTGGGTACAAATGTTGAAAAGGTCGCTCAACACAAGAATTGCCGCAGCCCGTGCACAACCTCGCTCCTCTGACCACTTCATCATTTCCTATGACTGCGCCACTGTTTCACGGTGCCACTGTTTCAGTGTTCCACTTTGTCACTGTTTCACTGTTCTACTGTCCGTCTGTTCCAGTGTGCCACTCTTCCATTATGCCACGGTTCCACTGAACCACAGTGCAACTGTGCCACTATTTCACTGTACCACTGTTCCCCTGTTCCACTGTGCCACTGTTCCTGTGTGACACTGAGCCACAGTTCCACTGAACAACGGTGCAACTGTGCCACTGTTCTACTGTATCACTGCTCCACTATACCACTGTGCGAATGTTCCAGCATGCCACTGTTCCACTGAACCACGGTGCAACTGTAGCACTGTTCTTCTGTGCCACTGTTCAACTGTGCCACTGCTCCACTAATCACCGGGCCATTGCTCCACTGTGCTCATCTAGTGTGCTACTGTGCCACTGTTCCACTGTGATGCTGTTCTACTCTGCCATGTTCCACTGTGCAGCTGTTCCACTGCTTTACTGTGCCACTGTTTCACTGTGTAACTGTTCCTCTGTGCCACTGTTTCTGTTTCACTTTGCTGCAGTTCTACTGTTTCACTGTGTCACTGTTTCACTGAACCACTGTTCCAGTGTTCCACTGTTCCACTATTCTACCGTTCCAGTAGGCCACGTTCCACTGTGCCGCTGTTCCACTGGGCCACTGTTACAATGTGCCACTGTGCCTCGCTGCAACTGTGCCTCTGATTCACTGTTCCAGTGTGCCACGGTTCCACGGAACCACGGGGCAACTGTAGCACTGTTCTTCTGTGCCACTGTTCTACTGTGCCACTGCTCCACTGTTCCACTGGGCCATTACTCCACTGTGCTCATCTACTGTGCTACTATGCCACTGTCCAATTTTCCACTGTTCTACTGTGCCACGTTCCACTGTGCTGCTGGTCTACTGTGCCACTGGGCCACTGTGCAGTTGTTCCACTGCTTTACTATGCCACTGTTTCACTGTGCAACTGTTCCTCTGCGTCACTGTTCTACTATTCCATTTTGCGACTGTTTTAGTGTGCCACTGTTCCATTGTTCCACGGCTCCACTGAACCACGGTGCAACTGTACCACTGTTC